ACCGGGACAGAATACGGCGCCCCAACTGGGACTAGAACCCGGGGTGCCGGGGCCTCAGGCAGAGGATTAGCCAAGTGAGTCTCGGTGCTGGGTCCAAGCCTGATTTAACATGTAATGCCTCACCATCCTGATCATGGAATTGATTTGGAAAATCTAAAGAGAGGACAGTGGATTAAACACCAAGATGAAAACAAAAGCAACAAGATATGGCTAGAAGCAGAACTACGAAGCCAGGAGAAGAAAAATATAGTGTACTAACTCCAGAATCTTTAGCCATGAGAAGTGAACGTTAAGTGGGTCCTTTCCATTTTGAGTAATGATATGATATAGTCAAGGCAATTAAATGAAACCACAAAAGCAAAACAAACCTCACAACAAAGTTTCATATTCATAAAGTAGGTCTGGGCAGAGATATGTGTTCAACACAGGATAAAGCATCAAAAAGAGTTGTGAAAGTTTTCACAAAGGCTTTCATTCTCCACAGGATGTGTGTAGCTCTTGAACACAAGCATGCAACTGTAGGGAGAGAGGCTCATCGAAGTTCTCAGAGTCCGTCAAAGAACTGGACCATCTGCACCATCTTATCGCACTGGGATTTCATTCTCTCGCCTGATCTAGCTTGTAGCGAAGAGACTGAGAGGTGGCTATGTTCAGGGGAATAGTGGCACCCTGGGGATGACAAGATGTCCTCGGTGGATGTGAAGAAGGCTCTCCAGGCAGTGTTTGGCCTGCAGTGAGGGAACATTGGCACCTTCTCCTGTGTTCTCCCTTCACACTTCACTAGAGGAGGAAATTGGCTTGGAAGTGCTGGCTGCTCAGTTGTTTTGTTGTATACCTGCCAAGACAAGAGAAGGGAAGCAGCTCACAGCCGCTGGAGCACTGTGACTCCCGGGGCCAGGTGGAACATTCTTTCCTCTTGTGTCATTATGTAAATCTGAACCTGCAAAGCGATGTGCGCATTCCTCCTCTCAGAGGCACCTGCAGCATTATCAGTTTCTCAAACAGTCTGAAACTAAAAAAATATTTAAAAATACACTGATGTTTATATAGGTAATCATTAAAGAAAAGTCTAAAAGAAGTGAGAAAAACAGCAAAGCTACAAAACGCCAGAGATCTAGGGAGTTCCCACACCTGTGCCTGCCTTTTTAGAAGGCACTCTGAAGCCCAGAAGCCCCTTTCGGTTTCCACCGCCATTCCTTAGCTCCCCACACTTCTTGAGGGGAGTTCAGCCTCTGTCACTCCCCAATTTCATGTGTTCTTATTCCATTTTTTTCCCACATACTTATTCATTAGGTTCTTAAAATGTTATTTTACAATTATTGCATTTTATCTGTAAAGCAAAGCGACATCTGATGGTTCACTCTCCAAGTACCCACAAAACCTAGGGCTGTGCCAGGTTGAAGCCAGGTGACTGGAATTCCATCGAGGTCTTCCATGTGGATAGCAGGAACCCAGGAACTTGGACCATTTTCTGCTGCTTTTCCAGAAGCATGAGGCGGGAGTTGTATCAGAAGCAGAACAGCCAGGATTTGAACCGGGGCTCATATGTGATGCAAGCTTCAGATATGGCGGCTTAATCCTCTATGCCATGATACTGGTCCCCATCCTAAAATGTTATTTTTAATTATGAAGTATTTCTTTTTTTAAACTTTTATTTAATGAATATAAATTTCCAAAGTACAGCTTATATATTACAATGGCTTTTCCCCCCCATAACGTCCCTCCCACCTGCAACCCTCCCCCTCCCGTTCCCTCTCCCCTTCCATTCACATCAAGATTCATTTTCAATTCTCTTTATATACAGAAGATCAATTTAGCATATATTAAGTAAAGATTTCAACAGCCTGCACCCACACAGAAACACAAAGTGAAAATACTGTTTGAGTACGAGTTATAGCATTAAATCACGATGTACAGCACATTAAGGACAGAGATCCTACATGAGGAGTAAGTGCACAGTGACTCCTGTTGTTGACTTAACAAATTGACTCTCTTGTTTATGGCATCAGTAATCACCCGAGGCTCTTGTCATGAGCTGTCAAGGCTATGGAAGCCTTTTGAGTTTGCCGACTCTGATCAATTATGAAGTATTTCAAGTATTCAAACTAAATGTAATATACCAGACCCAAGATAAAGTAGGTACACTCTCAGGATAAAGCAAATGTTAATATTTTGCCATATTTGCTTCTGATCTCTTTTTTTTAAAGATTTATTTATTTATTGAAAGAGTTACACAGAGAGGGGAAAAGTAGAGAGACAGACAGGTATTCCATCCACTGGTTCACTCCCCAATTGGCAGCAACAGCCGGAACTACGCCAATCTGAAGCCAGGAGCCAGGAGCTTCTTCCGGGTCTCCCATATGGATGCAGGGGCCCAAAGCTTTGGGCCATCTTCTACTGCTTTTCCAGGTCATAGCAGAGAGCTGGACTGGAAGTGGAGCAGCCAGGACTCGAACCGGCGCTCATATGGGATGCTAGCACTGCAGGCGGTGGCTTTACCTGCTATGCCATAGCACCGGCCCCTCTGATCTCTTTTTGTAAAGAAACAGAAAAGTGAGATTGTACCTAAAAAGTTTGTGGAAAATGAAACTAAACGATCAGTTCATGGGCCAGGCACTTAGCCTAGCAATTAAGACTCCATTTAAGACACCCATGTCCCATTTCAGAGTAGCTAGGTTTCATTCTAGGCCTCTGCTCCTGAATCCAGAATGCAGCTTCCTGCCCATGCAGACCCTGGGAGGCAGCAGGTGATGTAGCTCAAGTACTTGGATCTCTTTCATCCATGTGGGAGACCTAGATTGTGTTCTAGGTTCCAGGCTTCTGCAAGGGCTACCCCTGAATGTTACGGGCATTTTCAGATCGAAGATCTCTTTCTGTCAGTCCTTTTTCTCTCTGTGTCTCTGAAATACATATTGTTTAAAAAGATGTTTATTTTGGTGTAGAGATTTTTGAAATTTGTGTGTAATTTTTTTCATAACACACATCATCCATGAGCTTTTTCAGACTCCATGCACACTTATATTTTCCTTTGCCTCCCCTCCCTAGAGGCAACCACCAATCCAGATATCAGTAGCATTTTCCTATATGTTTTTTATATATGCATGGGTCTCCACTAAGAGTAGAAGTCTGCCAACTTTTTCTGTAAAGGGCCAGATAACCAATATTTTAGGTTTTGTGGGTCTCTGGTGAATATTCTGTATTTAAATTTCCTTTTTCTTTTATAAGCCTTCAAAACTGTAAAAACCATTTTTTTTTTTTGACAGGCAGAGTGGACAGTGAGAGAGAGAGAGAGAGAGAGAGAGAGAGAAAGGTCTTCCTTTTCCGTTGGTTCACCCTCCAATGGCTGCTGCAGCCAGTGCGCTGCGGCCGGTGCACCGTGCTGATCCTTAGCCAGGAGCCAGGTGCTTCTCCTGGTCTCCCATGGGGTGCAGGGCCCAAGCACTTGGGCCATCCTCCACTGCCTTCCCGGGCCACAGCAGAGAGCTGGACAGGAAGAGGAGCAACCGGGACAGAATCCGGCGCCCTGACCGGGACTAGAACCTGGGGTGCCGGAGCCGCAGGCGGAGGATTAGCCTAGTGAGCCGTGGCACTGGCCAAAACCATTCTTAACTCTCAGACTACACCAAGACAAACTGGGGCCCTGATTTGGCCAATTTGGGGGCAGTTTTCTCATCCCTGGATATTTTCTCACCCTGTGTGTCTTAAGAATTTGCATAGAAATATATCATACTGTTTGTGTTTGTTCACAACTTAAGTGTTTCTTTTAGTATTACATTTATAAGAGGTACAAAAGTTATTATATCTTGATCTATTTATGATTTTTTAATTGGCCACATTGTAGTCCATTGTATGAATGCACTGCAGTTTCCTCTTCCATTCTTCTGCCAGGGAACAGTTCGGTTGTTCCTATTTCACTTCATTGTAAATAGTGTTGCAATTTTCTCTTTGTTAATACACTTCCTAATGTTTTTAATTTTTAATTTTATTTATTTTTATTTACTTGAAAGACAAAGTGACAAAAAGATGGGGAGGAATGAAGAGAGAGAGAGAGAGAGGGAGAAGAAGAGGGAGAGGGAGGGAGAGAGAGAGAGAGAGAGAGAGAGAGAGAGAAAGTATCTTCCATTCACAGATTCACTCCTCAAATGCCTGTAAGAGCTGCAGCTAGCTCAGACTGAAGCAAGGAGCTAAGAATTCCATTTGGGATCTCCCACATAGGTGGCAGAGGCCCCAGGACTTGAATCATCTTCTACTGCTTTCTTCGGCACATTAGCAGGGAGCTGGATCAGAAGCAGAGCAGCCAGGACACAAACTTGCACTCTGCTAGGGGACACAAGCATGCTAAGTGTAAGTTTAACCTGCTGTACCACAATGCCAGCCTCTACAATTTTATTTTCTTGACATAAAATCCTGCATAGTATTCTGTGGTTAGAAATGAGGATTTTGAGATCAGACAGCTGTGCCCAAATTCTGGATATTCATAGCTAGCTATTAGCTCATGCAAATAGGTTAACCTGTCTATAATTCTTTCCCTTATTTATTTGAGAGAGAGAGAGAGAGAGAGAGAGAGAGATCCTATCTGTTAAATGTATACAACAGGCAAGAATGGGTCAGGTCAAAGCCAGGAGACAGGCACTCAATCCAGGTTTCCTATATGGGTGGCAGGGACCCAATTACTTGAGCCACTACCACTGCATCCCAAGGTCTGCATTAGCAAGAAGCTGTAGTCAGAAGTTGGAGCTGGGCTGAAACAATATAAATTCAAAACTTACAGATAGGGTTAGCTCTATCACTCATCTCTTTAAAAAGTTTATATGAATATCCAGTCAAAACCGACAGGTATCGCCCTTGAAATGTTATCTCTACGACTTCCAAGCAGACCACAGGACTGCACACTGTCTTGGAATGTCCTCAGAAGGCTCTGTCACTGTGCAGGTTAACAGAGTAAAAACCCCAGAGTCCTTTCTTTCAAATGGAAGAGGGAAAGACAGGGACAGAAGAAATTATTCAAACTTCGTCTTCTTTCCTTGTGGCTTGTGGTCTCCGCCTCCTCCTCTGCCGCCTCGGAACCCTCCTCTCCCTCCGAAGCCTCCCCGGCCTCGGCCACCAAATCCGCCACGGCCTCCTCTGCCACCACCTCGGCCTCCAAAGCCGCCTCTGCCTCCGCCACGGCCCCCAAAGCCACCTTCACCCTTCGGCTTGGCCCAGTCCAAAGTGACTTTGTTGCCATCAATCTCCCCATCCTCCATGGCCTCCTTGGCGGCTTTGGCGTCCTCCTCACTGTTGAAGTCTACGAAGCCAAACCCTTTGGAAGATCCCGTCTCCCGGTCCGTCACTATCCTCGCCCGGACAGAGCCGTCGAACGATTCCTACAAATAGTTGGGTTTTTTTTCCCGTTGGGGGCTTGTAAAGGAAAACAGAATGTTTTATCATGATTTTTGCTTCAGTGACTTTAGGACAAATTAAAGGTCCTAAACTCTGAAAAAAAAAAAAAAAAAAGAAGTTGGAGCTGGGCATTGAACCCAGGCATTCCGATGTGGAATGGGGGTCTCTTAACTGTTAGGCTAAAACCTGATTCCAGTTTCTGTTTTATAAAGAGAAACAGCAGTGAGACTTATCTGCTAGAGCCATCATTCAGGGCATTAAATACTCAGAAAAGTCACTGGTACAAAGTGTTTCGATATTTTTATTTTAGCTATTGTTGTATTTCAAACATCTCAAGTCTACCTGAAGTTGTAACTTCTTTTAAGATTTGTGCCTTCTCAATGTTTTTCTTAACCAATTTATCAAAAGTTTGTCTAAATAATTGTATAATTGAAGAAACTCTGTTATTCCTTTATTTCCGATGTCACTAATTTCTTCTCTTATCTTTGCAACTCAAGCCAGTGCCCTCATCTCCTTCAGGAACCTAATTTCTATCTAATCTTTGCTTATGTTGCTCCTGTCAAGTCTGGTTGGATACTAGGCCTAGCAAGAAGGGAAACCAGAAGGTGGGTAAGGCCAGTGCCTGTAACTATATGAGAAGCTGAGCCCAGGACAAGTAGCAAGTGTTCAAAAGGACACAAATCTGTCAAGAAAGTTCAGTTACGGACACCAGATGAACTGTACAAAATGACTTACCTACAGTGTTTCATAGTTTCCTCAGCCCCCAAATTCCCTATGCTCCAAGTCTGATCCAAAGAATTATATCCTTTCCATTTTTTTGGCCCAGTTCAAGTCCCAAATCCTTCTTAGAGGCGTTCTTTCTTTTTAAATTTGCATTTCTTTCTTTATTTTCTTTTTTTAATAAAAGATTTATCCATTTGAAATGCAAAATGAAAGAGGGAGACATACACACACACACATGCACACATACTTACAGAGGTATTTTCCGTCTATTGGTTGGCTCCCCAAATGCCTACAACAGCCAGGGCTAGACCAGACCAGAGTCAAGTACCTTGAACTCCATCAGAGTCTCTTATGTTGGTGGCAGGGCCCAAGAATTTGGGCCATCATTTGCTACTTCCCAGACACACTAGCAGGAATCTGGATCAGAAGTGAAGGAGCTGGGACTTGAACTAGGTACTCTAATATGGGATGTGAGCATTCTAATCAGTGTCTTAACCCATTGTGCCGTAACAGCAGCCCCTTCTTGAAGCCTTTCTAACTTTTCCCCGTCTAATGGGTCTCTTACTTCTGGATCTCTTAGCAGCTAAGAGATCAGTGAAGGAAACTGAAACCACTTTACATATCATAATCATAGAGATTTATACAGGGAACTAGCTGCTCACTGAAACTTGAGAAGGATTGGAGACACAAGTCCAAGTCCAGACTTTTCAGAATGATTCCAACAATAGTACAGGATCAACCTACCTTAAGAACCATACTACTTCTGCCACAGTCAAAGAAACAACAATGAAGCGATGCTGCCACTGGAAGTACAGTGGACTATCTATCCACGGGCTCTGCATCCGAAAAACAACTATCAGCAGATTGAAAATATTTGGCAAAAGTTTTACCTGTACTTAACATGCGCAAACTTTCTACTTGTCATTATTCCTCTAAAAATACAGTATAACAACTATTACATGGCCCTTATATTAGATATTATGAGTAGTCCAGAAATTATTTAAAATATACAGAAGGATGTGCATAGGTGATATGCAAATGCTATGTAAGAAACTTGATCATCTGTTGAGTATGACATCGACTGGAGGTCCTAGAATCCCCCGCAGGTACAGGGATGACTATACTCAGTTCAATGAGGCCAGCATTAGCTTGATACCAAAACCAGACAAGGAGAAAATAAAAAAAAAAGAAAATCATAGGACAATATCCTTGATGAACATAAATGCAAATATACTCAACAAAATACCAGCAAATATTAACAAGATTATGCATTGTATGATGATTTCATTTATTTGAATTGTCCAGAATAAGCAAATTCACAGAGACAGAAAATGGATTATGTTTTTCTATTACTTAGGAGCTTGGGATATGGGTCAGGGGGGCAGGGAAGTGGAGAGTGACTGCTCTTAAGTATGGTTTTTCAATCTAGAGTAATGAAAATATTCCAAAAATTATGGTTGCATAACTTTCTGAATACACAAAAAATCATTGAATTATAAATTTTAAATGTATGAATTGTATGGTATGTGAGTTATAAAACTATTGCAAAAAATGCAAGATAAAAATTAAGGATGACTTTTGAGAATTACCTTGTGGCCAGCATTTCAAGTTGTGGTGAAACCAAACTATTGGTACAATCTGGGCAGTTGCATAGTCAACAAACTAATTTGCACATACAAAATGGTTCAGGAAATACTGCATTTGGTGATCACTCTAAAATGTCCATGTAGAAGAAACTTTGGAAAGAAATTTGGTTGGAAGGGGCTAGGATATTACTTTTGAGGCTGCTTATAAAGTAGTCACACTCTTCACAGATGTCTTTCCTTGTGGTGGCACTGAGGAAAGGCCAATTGAGATAGATTATGGGAGGGAGATCTGTATCTTTCGATGCAATTTGATTTCACCATCTCCCGACTGCTAAACTGGTAGTTGGAATATAAGCTGTGTCAGCACATGGACTACATCTTGCTGGTTCATCACCATTGTTCTTGTGCTTGCTTTATAATACACTTGTAATGAATGCTTGTTGAATGAATACATGATGCCATCACTTCTTGGAAGTTACATGAAAATATCAATGAAGCCTTGAGAGCTCCAATAAATAACTCACACTAGTTTCCAAAGAAAATGAGCAAAAAGATAAGGAAGTGCCTGATGGAAGCCAAAGTATCATTTGCATTATCAATAATAGTTAAGTGATTTGATTTATATATTTATGGTTTATATAACAACTAATACTTAAGAATATAGTTTATATCTAAAGGCATGTGGAACATTGAATGAAACCTCAGAACCAGATAGATATACTACTGTGCAAAGGTGCATCAGTAGCAGCCCCAATTTGTTCATACCTTCTTGAACAGTTCCCTCATACACTGACTCTGGTCTCAGCAACATGACTTGCTTTGGTCAATGGGATATTAGAAAATGTGATACAAGCAGACACTTGGAAAAATTCTTGCCCATTGAAACTTTTCCTCTCTTACTGCTGTGAAACATTCCATCATCATGAGGATGATCCCATACTAGATTTTCTAAAGGATGAGACACCATGTGAACAGAGACTTCAGCTATACTAGTTATCTTAGCTGTCCCAGATGAGACCACAGACATGTTAGTAAAGCCATTAAGCTATTGTGTACCAGTAAGTTCTAGTTGAGTCAGCATAAACTAGAAGATCCTTGAAGTTAGCCAGTAGAATCATAAGTAATAATGTTTGCTGTTTTAAGCCACTGTTGAGGGTTGAATTGAGTCCCTTAAAAGATATATTGCAATTATAATTCTTGGTACCTGTGAGTGTGACATTATTTTGAATTAGGTTCTTTGCAAATGTAATTGAAAATGTAAGTCAACATGAAGGTATACTGGAATAAGGTGGGCCCTTAATTCAATATGACTGGTGTCCTTACAACAAAAGGAGAAGAGATGCAAAGACAAACAGAAGAAAAAAACAGCCATGTAGCAGTGGAGGCAGGGTTTAGAGTGACAAGGCTATAAACCAACAAAAATCTAGGGTTGCTGGGAACAACTGAGGCATGTAACAGATTCTTCCCTAGAGCTTTCAAAGAGAATACGACACCTTGATTTCAGAATTCTAACCTCTAGGATGGTGAGAGAATAAAGCTTTGTTGTTTTAAGTCAAGCTTTTACCACTATGTTATGGCAGCCCCCGAAAACTAATACAGTCATTAAATATGAGGGTAGCTTGTTACATGGTAAAAACTAGCTGATATACTTGCCTGCTCCTTCACAGCAACACTGGATCAGCAAAAGGCTCCCAAAGCTTCTCAGAGAAAGGTTATTGAATGAAGAGTGTTCTATTAGAAAGTTTCTGTTAAAAGGGAACTAGGAAGTTCAGGGCCTATTAACCTAATGGATTCTCCCCAAATTAATTAAACCAGTCCATGTATCATGTGGTAGAATTTGTACAGAATCCAAGATTGTCACATTAATTGAATCCTCCCTATGAAAGAAAGCATTAAGGATTGGGAAAAAGCAATCCTTTTAACAGGTGTCATACACTGAATAGATGACAAGTCAGATTTGTTCTTGCTGAGATTTCTAAAGAACGACTAGGATGATCATCCAGGTTAATTGTGATCATGGGTGAGCATCGTGGTTGCAGCTTGATGTGGTATATATTTCCCATTGGCTGCAACATTCTACTTTTCCCATTAGCCAAGTATGGATACACCAAATTCAAGGTCATGAATATATATGCCTGTATTTTCTTCTAAGAATATTATAGCTTTAGCTGTTAGAGTTAAGTCATTGACCATTTGAGTTAATTTTTGTACTCATATATGGTGCGAGGTATGGGTTCAGCTTTATTCTCTTGTATTCATGATCCAAAGGGAGGAAATCACATATTATATCACTTTGAATCTAATAGAACAGTGAAGCACTTACAGTAGATTACCATTTAATATAATTCCTGAATATGTTATGTTTTAATATGTCTGGAGACACTTCAGTTTTTCTGGAGAACTCACCTATTAGCTCAAATTTCCAAATCAGTTATTACTTTGAGGAGTGACTTGAGAGTCTATGAGTCCTGGCCAGTCATTTATTCAAATTTTAATGTACAACAATAGCACCTGTAATGTTTATCAACATTGGAAATGATTGTGCCATCTTGAGGAATCCCACTGCATGGTGCTGAGTTCTAGTTCTTGTTGGAAGATGATCTTTTAAATTTTATGATTGTTTTATTTACCTTAAGTAATAGGTCATATTCCCATATTTATTGCTGGTGGTTTTG